ACTTCAATTTACGGGCGAAAAGTGAAAATTTCACACATTACCGGCGAAGGATTAAATCCGTAATCGTAATTATTATATATGATTAATTTTGTAGAACAGATGGAATAAAAAATAAGTATTTATATCAGATACAGAAATTAAAATCAAGAAAGAAAAAATAGTAATGTTTTTTTTTTTTCAAATCTCATTTTTTAAAGTTTTTTTCTATTATGTTTATTAGCTTTATATGTAAGAAACATAACATTTGACGATGTTTAAAATACAACGAATAACAGTATAACAGTAATTATTTTTCTAATGTTAAAAAACATCGTGCGAAATATTTTACAATTTTTCAATTTTGCACGCTCGATCATATTACGAACTTGTGACTCTTTTTCGACACACCGTTTCAGTATCGGAAATTTGGGTTATCTGTTTGCCATCCTTTCGCATTTGGTCCAAATTGATACACCAGTCTGCGACCAAGTACTGGTAGAAATATTTTGCTCTTATAATAGTACCTAAAAAGCATCATTTTGAAAAAAAACTAATATAGCAATATCTAAATATAATTAAATTATTTCACAAGATATAAAAAATTTTATTATTTATTACCTCATAGCTCGACTAAGTTTTTCATAAGTCATTTTTGTATTTCCTTTCCGTGAACCCCATCGTTTTGCCACTTCATCGCTTTTTACGAAGCGAAATTTGGCTTGTGAATAATCTTCCCAGCAGATTAAACTTGGACACGTTTCTCTATTACGAAGTAAATCTCTAATAAATTCCCATAATTTTCCTTGACTCGCGGCTACAAAAATGCAGTTAAATCGTATAATTCAGTGAATACGTTTAATATTATATATAATAAATATCACATATAATAAATCTTTCATTTTAATTTCATTCTAGTTTATAATTTAACGAAATTAGCATATTTAAAGTATGAAAGACAAAGAGATAGTGTTATAGAAGGGAAAGGTAAGAAGAAACGTGTTTTTATAAACGTATAAATGCATCCGATCAGTGTGCGTCCCATGCGTAAAGTCTAAGTTCACGTCTAATCGTGAGCGCTGCTTCTGCTTGTCTCCTATATGCATGATACGCTAACTATTTCTTGTAATTTGAAAACTAAGCTTCGGACAAAATTTTCGTAAAGGAAAAATCGTCTTAGAATTCGATCAGGAATACGTCTCTTGGGTTGTTCTGAATCACCCTGTATGTATATTGTGTATCGAGAAATATATTTCGCAAAAATTTATTGCTGAACTTCTGATCTTCTAATTACTCGTGCAAATAAGGGTAATTTGATAGCATTAATGGACAGCACTAACTGAATATAATGGGAAAAATGCATGAAATTTTAGATAATAACACACACTTGAACATTAATAAAAATTCCACGAATAAAATGATTATTGAAATACGCGCATTTTTAATCAGGCGGAAGAATAGGAAATACATTGATAAATTTATTTATAAGAAATTATATGTTTCTGATGGAACTATCGAAATCTTATGGGCTTCTGAAGGTACACAAAGAAAGTAATCCGTTGAGATGATAGCTGTATTAGTAGTCCCCATTATTTTCTTGTTACATATTTGAAAGAAATTATTGAAAAAAGTTTAAAAAAAGAAATTGGTGATATCAAAAAGCTATAAAATAGTAAATAAATTAATTGGAATGTCATTAAATTCATACCATAACTATAAACTTGTTTCCTTTGATGTAGTATCTATGTATAGTCAGGGCCTAAAAAAATTACATTTTTTTTTTAATGGGTTTCGGAATGTAGCCTATTTATCGAGCGATTAGTTCTTATTTGTGGATCCATGAATAAGAACCAATCGCTCGATGAGCACACTGCATTCCGAAACCTATCGAAAAAAAGTTGTAACCTTTTAAGGTCTTCCTAAGATTGTACACTAATATTCCCACAAATTTAATTCTAAGAAGTATCGAAATAAGATGGAACTCTATATCAAAAAATACATTGATTCCGAAACAAGAATTTTTAACGACTATACATATTTTATTGTCAATTCTATTTTCTTTAAATCTGATAAAAAATACTTCAAACAGATATTTGGTATACCCATGGAATCTCCGATCTTAGCAAATTTAGTGATTCAGACAGTTTTCAGACAATTTAGTGATTCGAAGAAAGAAATATTTTCCAGCATTAGTATTAATATTCCTATTTATTATCGTTACATTGATGACATTTTGCTTGCGATTCCAAATGATCAAATCGATTTAGTTCTTAAAACATTTAATTCTTATCATTAGAGATTGAGATTTAATGTGGGACATAAGAACAATGGCGGTATTAACTTTCTTGATGTTAATTTAAAGAGGATGATTGTATTAAATTTGACATTTATAAAAAATCGACTAATTCGAGCCAATATTTGAGTTGACAAATCAAACCGTCCAATAGAACACAAAAGAATAATAATCAGACAATTTGATAGAATTTTATTTCTTTCTTTCATTCAGATTAAAAACGTCAACATCATGATTAATGTTTTAATTAATGATTTTAAATAATAGTTATCTTCTAAATATAATATTTTCCATTATAAATTAGAAAATAAAAACATTATTTAGAAGAAATAATTTTTATGAAAATAAAAGGAAATTAATAATAATAATTGTAGTTCTACTAATATAAAAAAATTCTTTACAATTCCATATGTAAATAAAATGTCAGAAAACTTTAGAACAATTGTGGAAAAAAATTTAATATATCTTATAAATCAATGAATTGTTTAAATTAATTTTATAAAAATAGAAAAAGATAGAACGGATAAAACGAATTAATGTAATGTGATATATAGAATAAATTGTCTGAATTGTGATTCCTCTTAGGATAAACAAAAAGGAAATTTAAAACGAGGATTAAAGAACATAGAGCGAACCAAAAAAAAAAACAATCTCTTTTTGTAGTTTCATCAATTAAATTAAATTATGAACTATAGATTTAATAACATCTGTGTTTTAGGAAACTATCCTATAAAAAAAAAAATGATTTCGGAAATGATACTTATAAAAAGACAAATTGATGATATCAATCAGCAAAGCGATACAGAAAAATTATTGAGTAATTATTTATCTATACTAATATTTCTGCTTTACATAACATCAGTATGTTTCTCCTCCTAAGTATCTTTGTCTTGTTTTATATTGTAAGTTTTATATGTAAGTTCAATAATTCTTGATGAGAATTAGCAGAGAATTTAAAATTGTAGCAGTAAAAATAACTTGTTATCAATTTTATTGTCATTACTTTATTTATAATATTGAAGTTTGTTTTGGCACAGTTTGTTTAACACTCCAAAACTAATAATTGAATAATTAAATTTCACATATTAATTACGTGGTTCGATCATATTAGAGTCTGGAAATTTTATGCCAAACATGTTACTCTAATCAAATGCAACGAAGAATTATATTGGACAAATTAAAAAAGATTTTAATAAGAATAAATTCTTCAAGTTCTCTCTAAACAATTTTAATTATTAACGAGCGTTTTGCGTACACTAACCTTCAAGAAATGATTTATATTTGGACATTTGACTTGTAAATTTCAATTTTTTTGTGTTTTATCGTTAAATAATATTATATTTATTTCAATTGTATAAAAAATTATGGGCATATATTGAAGATAGTCTAATCAACCGAAACGTTTATAATTGTTCTGACTAATTCGTTCAATTATATCAGAACAGAATCAATAAAATTAAATTTATAGAAGTTTTTCGCTACTTATATCTTGCGTTATGGTATATGCATTTTGTAATTATTATATATTTCGCAGTTATACTTACTATTTTTCTTAGTTTTTAATACTCTTGGTCTACCTGGCAGCCTCTTGGTTGCAATTTCGATACTATTATCTGATTCCGCATCTGGGAAAAGCAAGAAAATTGTTTAAAATAATTATGATACCAGATAGGACAGAGTCCTATCTGGGAGAAAGAATTCTTTTTTATTCCCGATTAAATGAATTCCTTTTCTATCTCATTTCTGTTCTAAAAGTATTCTTAAGAGTCCCAAAAGAATTCACTTTTATATCATCAATTGCGACCTCTTTTTCAGATTCAAAACTATATAAGAATTCGCAATAAAATTAAAATAACTTTTAAATGATATTTTAATGGAGTTCTTCATTTTTTGCTCTCTCTGAAGCTCTTTCTCGAGTTCTTCACAAACAGATTACGCTAATTCAGAAACAACAAGAACATTCATTTTTTTCGAGTTTAAATAGATCAGTTGTGCTGCCTAGGATATGTTCAAATCTTCGTGTGTGTGTGTGTGTGTGTGCGTGTGTGTGTGTGTGTGTGTGTTTATACGTATTATGTAAATTTATATGATTTTATATAAATAAAAGATAATAGTTCAGTTATTGAAATATTTTTTTAAATTTACCGGATATGTTGCTAGAATTGACTCGCGTATACTCATCCTCCGATTGCGCCTGAATGGTATCAAATGGTGGTACTATATCAAAAATTAATAGATTTTGTATTAAATTTGCAGTATACTCAATAATCATTTTGCATTCGCATTATTTATTTACTAACAAAGGAAGATTCCCAATTCGGAAATTCAAAAGTTATAGTTTCTACTAATGACAATTAATACATCGCGAATTATAATTTTTATATATATATAGTAAAATTAGGGAATCCCGATGGAGAAAGAAATAGGAACGAAATAATAACGAAAAAAGAAAAATGATGGGGTGCTAAGCAATTATGGAAAGCCTGGCTACGAAAAGCGGAACAGAATCTGCAGTCTGAATGATTAGCCTCCCACTATGTTTTCTTTCCGTCACTGTTCTACTTTTTCTTTTTCCACGATGCACAGGATAAAATTTATCATATCAGTTTATTATATATGAAAAATTTTCTAAGAACTTTTCATGTTTTTCAGAATTTTTTATATTATATAAAGGCCATAATCAAATAAGGGGGAGGCAAAAGTGCCCAGATTCCAAACAATTCGAAACTTTTTAAAAAGACTTATCAAGAAACTAATTTAGGCGTAGTATTAATTTTTAATACAGTATAAGAAAGATATTATTGAATTGATAATTTTAATTAAAATATTATATCTTCGAATATATATATATAA